TCCAGTTATAGGCTGCTAAGCAATCTTATGGAAAATGTTCTTATGCTACATTAGACTGTCTCCCTGAAGTCTCACCAACAGATCCTCATTCTCCCCTCTGGAACTTTCAAATAGAGCAGTGTAATGGAAATAGCATCATCCTGTGAGTCAGTAGAATCAGGTGGTAGACCAGAATGGCTATAATATGTTATTTGACCTTGAACAAGTCACCTTCCCTCTCTAGCCCTAGTTGCTCTTTCAAAACAAATGGGATTGGGACCAAATGATCTGATTTGGAAATTCAATGAGTTGTGTATACTCCCATCTTTCTATGATGGTGCTTAAACATTGAAGGTGACTTTTCGCCAACAGGCTTTTGGTTTAACACTGCTCTGATAACCTTTGAGATGGAATACAGACCATTTAGTTCAGCCTTACTTGGCTACAGTAAGAACATTATCTTAGAAACTGGTCTTCTCCCATGTGATTATATTCAAATGAGCAGCTGAAATCAGATAGGCATGTGGGATTAAATACTAGTAACCTAGTTAATGTTCACATTCTACAGCACAGGCTAGGGGCAATCAAGATGACTATGCAGAGAATGGAAATGCCTTTGAACTCGAGTCCTACTTCCTTCACAATGCACATATTGAAACCTACAAAAAGTCAAGAAGTTCAAAGGAAGGTGATCTACCCTGATGTAATTTTAATAAAATGCCTCATTTTGTTTTTTTAAGGACACTAATTTTCTTAATTCCGATGTTATTTTTAAAATATTTTTATTGATTTCAGAGAGGAAGGGAGAGGAGAGAGACAGAGAGACAGAAACATCAATGATGAGAGAGAATTGTTGATCAACTGCCTCCTGCACACCCCATACTGGGATCAAGCCCACAATTCGGGCATGTGCCCTGACTGGAAGTTGAACCATGACCTCCTGGTTCATAGGTTGATACTCAACCACTGAGCCACACCAGCCGGGCCTGATGGTTTTATCCAGTTTCCAATACACATTTCTATGTAACAGCTTAGGTACATATAGAAAAAAAAAGTTTTTTGAATTTTCAGGGTAAGAATTTGATACAGCAGCTGTATCAAATCTGAGCAAAGAAATATTTTCTTAGAGTGTGAGGAAAAAATAATAGCCATGTGGCAAACCTACCCACATGTCAGCAATAATATACTTATTTAATTATTGCAGGGATTCCAGAGTGAAAACTGATTTCTTTGAGTCCAGCTCAGAAGCTAAAGTATTATACTTCACTTCCAATGTAAGAATCTAAAATACAAGGTTGACTTTTTTTACTGATAACTCACTCTGTCTTCTTATAATTCTTTCTGTGTCAGCAGGACTTCCTTTTAAATCAATCACTTAATGTATTAACTTTTCTTTATTTCTAGAAGTTACCGAAGGAAATGAGCAGAGAGAAGTGTCCTGATTCTTTCTATAAATAACTGTGACTTTCCAAGGTGGAGATTGCCTTCTACATTGAAGGAGAGCTATGAGTAAAACAACTCATAGTTGTGAGCTAGAAGATAACCAGTAAATAAAAACAAATATAGCAATGTAGAATACATATGCAATTGAAATGTTCTTTGGTTGTGATAGTTTTGCAATGGCAAATATATGCTTGGACATAGAATCCTAGATTTTTTGTGTGTACTGCTGCTAAGGTTCAAACAACTGTGAAAAAAATCTTCTTAAGCTAGCCCATGCCATAGATGACAAAGGCTGTTTATACCACTAGAAAAGAAGAATTTCCAGCGGAGAGAACTTGGCAAATGTGATATATCCTGCTATGAAATAAGGGGACCCATGGCAGAGACATAGCTTCCCAGGGGTTCTTTGCAGGAAATAGCTTCCGAAATATGCACTTGGTAATTTGTATTGAAATACAATTTCTGAAAACAAACCAAAAGGCCTAGCTGCTTGTTACCATATGAGACACTCAAAATGCTTGTATTTATTTATTTTTCTCCCTATCAAAATTCATTATATGCACTCAGTTGGTGTTGCTCAGTGATTGAGTGTCAACCTATGAACCAGGAGGTCATGGTTTGATTCCTAGTCAGGGCGCAAGCCCAGGTTGCAGGCTCGATTCCCAGTAAGGGGATGTGAAGGAGGCAGCTGATCAATGATTCTCTCTCATCATTGATGTTTCTATCCCATATATATATATCATATACATATATACTTCATTATACGTACTATGTATGTTTCACCTTTTGTTCTCATTAAACACAATACTACTTATTATTTTTTACAGCTAGAACTATATCAGGAGGCCCTGACAATCTGTCAATCCAAGATGTTAGCCATCCCAGGAAAAAATTCTATGGGGGCTGGAAAGGTAACTAGCTATTTTAATTGACCACTGAATTATTTGAAAACATATGAATTACTGGTGTTGTGTTGATATAGCATACATTTCATATATTTAAAAGAAAGCAGAGAGAATAAGGAAAAATAAGTCTATGATTTGATTTTTTCTCTCTTAATAGTCCTTAGTCTTTATCCTCCCCAATCTTAGCTTAGGTACAGAGCTGTTTAGTCGGTAATCTTCAATATACTTTCTTCTCTTTTTTAACCTCCATGTTCTAATAATTTCTAATCTAATTACCACCCTGGGGTTCTTTATTTTGGATCTAGATATCCCTCCATGATTCTCTGAATAATATTTGTAAAGGATGGTAGCAGGATTGATTTACATCGTGGCCAGCTACCTGGGAATTACGTACTGCAATACACACTAAGTACGCTTATAGAATGAGGATAATAATGATAATAAAGTTAGCAAATAAGGAAAATCAAAGCCAAATCTCAAGGTAATAGACATTATTGAAATCCAAGTAAGTCCTAGTAGATGGACTGGATCTACTTTTTACTATACATAATACAGTGATCAGGTTTCAATTTAAAGTGAAACAAAAAGAAGAAAAAATATCAATTTGGGCCCCAAATACCTACTTTGATTTGAAAAATCTAGGTAGTTGAGGCAGAAATGTTGTATTTGTTTACATCAATTGAATAATTCCTTTTGTGCATAATTCACTGTTTCTGTGCATTCGTGTGTGTGTGTGTGTGTGTGTGTGTGTGTGTGTGTGTGTGTGTTTATAGATATACCTAGCCTATCCTGTAAACTAATAAACAATTGCACCAGCTAAAAATCAGATTATTTACATTTCTTTGGATGTTGAGCTTCACTAATTTCACGCTAATGAACACACTGAATGGCTACAAATATGACCTATAAGAAAAAACTTTTATTAGTGAAAACAGCATTAAAATTACTGATTATCAACTCAGAATTTTACCACAATGGTTCAATTTACATGAAACAATGATTGAAATATACATTGCAATTCTTATTAGGGAGAGCAGAACTTATTCTGATTTCCAAAGGCTTCCATGAGCAGTTTCCACTGTACAGCATGGCTTCCTTAGGCTGTTAACTAGCAGGATAAGGAATTATCTAGTATCTGTGAGTTGCCAACTAAGAGAAATATATTGTTCAGGAGCTTTAGAAGACTATTTCCTTCCTATAACTAGTTTAAAAGTGATATTTTATATTTTTTCATTACATATTCATGTAATTTCTCTGAAGGCCTTGTTCATGAGTTTTTTTTAAGTTAAACAAGTATTTCTCACTTTTGATGTATTACTAAAATCATCAAAATTTCTATTTAGCTAGTGTGTCTACAAAAGCAAACTAAGGTGGAGGGCTGAGTAATTCTTTCCTGGTTCTGGATTCTGTAGCCAGTGGATCTGGTAATTATGATTTAATAAAAAATTGAAATTGTTTTATTCTCAAAAGCAATTATTTGGTTCAAAGTATTGAAGTAGTTGTCTCAGAGCCCCACTTCATTTTCCCTCTGTGGACATAAGAACAGCAGCCTAAAAATAACATTTAAAAATTAAAAAGTAATAGTGTTTCATATCAGGCGATTCAGTTTGCTTTCCTTGATTTCCCCTTCTAAAATGCAATCTTATCAACCAGTGGAAACTAAGACAAAATGAAATTTGAAAATCGATTGAGGGCAGTTTTATACAAAATAAGCTATTAAAATTCATTTAACCTCCCATTTGCTTTTAATTTAACAAAGGACAGATCCCCAGCAAATCTGTAATTGGAGGTTAACAATTATCAGATGAACTTGATATATGTCGCCAGTAATTCCCGGTAAATGAAGCCACAAACAGGATATTTTAGTTCAGTCCATCTGACCATAGTGACTAATTGAATGAGCACTGGAAATGAAGCCAAACCTTCATTTGATGCCACTTGTCTACATAACTGAGTGGCTGGACCCAAAGCCCCAATGTTCAGTACTCAGAAAGAACTAAAATAAGTCATATAAGCATGTGATGTATATCCTGTGATACATAAAACTTTTAGTTCAAAAGTATTTGTATAAGCTGCCTATACTGTTTACATTTTCAGCATAGCTAGGTAGACATAAGGCCACAACAATACTAAATTATATTACCTCTCTCTGTTTTCCTCTCTCTTTATATCTCTTTCTATAAGGAAATGTGCCTATAACCTACTTTATTGGTCAATACAGTCTGTTTATAATCTTTGCTACCCTCAAAGGAACCATAATTCAGTTGGCTCCTGTTTCTTAATCATAATGACCCTGGTAAAATAATGGATTGATGATTTTGGTCATGTTTGAAAAATACAAATCACAATCCACCCGATAAATAGGTAGGTAACCAGTAATCAGTCAAGCTGGCCATGAATTATAGGGATCATAAAGTTTTTCTAAAAGTATTTCAATCAATAATTAAGACAATATTATATTTGCTTGTCTGCAGTTATGTCAGATTCCAACTGATTAATCAGAATGAGCAAGAATCAAAGCATGTTGATCTTGGCACTGTCCTACTTTTCTCCAAAGAGGCTGCCAGTGGAAGGGAACACAGATTGTAACGATGTTTGAAAAGAAAGCATCTCTTAACATAAATTTAACAATTAAGTTGAATACAAACAGTATTCTAAAGCTCTATGTCTTACCCTCAAATCTAGATGAAAAGATCAGTTCGGTTACTGCTTTATTTCTTCTGAAAAATAATGGAAAGATAAATATATTTAACAAACTGTGGCTTCAGAAATACCATTGTAGCAAACAATTTTATTAATACTTTCATAAAAATGGCATTTAATAAATTTTCTCTAATACCTTGATGTTATTAAAAGCAAACAAAAGTCATTAAAACAGTTCCTTTCTGTTTGATTACTAATAATCAAATCAGGGTAAAAACAATACAATGTGTTTTCTTTACTTTATTTCAAAATAGTGATTATAAATACATTTTAATATATTTTCTCCCCCAGCTCTTTGGATGTGACAACAATAACAACAACAACAACAAAAAAACCTCACTGTGCTCATTTCATACAGTGTCAATGTACAAATCATGCAAAAGATATTATAGATTAATATTACTGCCATACATTTCTAGATGTGTTCTCTTATTTCAGCAAAACCTGTTGACATTACTCATGAGGCCATGCCCTGTGTAATTTATGCATTCTTATGGCTTAAAGAAATGAAATGTTTTTAAAAGCAACAAAATAATGTTGGTCTTAAATGATTTTCTAATTAATATATTTATTGAGTTTATTATGCAGAATGGAAAACTAAATATAGAATATAAATTGCCTTATAGACTTCAATCACTATATTTTAATAGCTGCTTTCTCATAAAATTACACAAAAGATTTACTTTTAAAGAATTGAATCATCTTTATTGACTTCATAAAAAAATAATTTAAAACTTGATTTATATTACATGAACATAATATATTGTCTCAACCCCTTCACTGATTTATATGCTATAATTTACTTTGCAACTATTCTAATAGAGTCCAAGCACATGATACAGTGCCAAGAAGCCCACGATGTGTCAGACCACATTAGAAATGAACACTTCTTGTATTTTCTATATTTGAATCAAAACCAAAAATGCTGTATTGACATATATATCACTTCTGCAGGGGTTAAACTAACATCAAGGTTATAGTTGAAGTCAAGAAAATGTAGATACAGAATTTTAACCGCTCTTGTACTCAACTAAAAACTTATGCCTAACAACATTATCATAAAATATACAAGTAGAACTAATGAGAGACAGGTGCAAAATAGTATACACTGTATAATGTAGGCACAATGACTTTAGTTAAGGAGAATATATCAACCTTAACCAAGAATTTGTTACTGTCATTCACTTACAATTAGATCCTCCAAATAACCACATACATTTAAATTACTTTTTAAAAAGTTGAACATTTACACCTTTCAGCAGAAGAGTTTGAGATAACCAATATGCTACAGGACGCTTTGAGATAGTGGCAGGTACTCCTGCCATTGACAATTGCAGAAACCTTGAATCATCTTCAAAGCATAACCACACTGAATAAAATGCATCATCCCAGTGACCTATGATCCCCAGATCATGGATGGAGCTTTTTGATTCCTCCCATAAGTGTCTACTTAAGATTTTTCAATCCATCCACACTTTATTGACAGGATAAACCTTTTCATCTTTATCCTGTCAGTATGCATTAGGAGCCCTTTAACCCATGGATGCATGCAAGCATGGTAATGGTATATTAAAAGTCCTTATGAAATTATAGATGAAAACAAGCTGTTGGGCACACATCTTCATGTCCTTTCTTTCAAGGTCAGAAAGTATTTGTTTGTATTTTTTAAATATTCATATAAAGTTTTCACAGACATTGTCATGAAAATTAAAACTACACATTAAAGTTTTAGGAGCACCAGCACATACATATGGAGACTATTTTTTTTGCTATTTAAAAAAAATCTCCAATTATCGATATGTATGCATACACACACACACACACACACACACACACACACACACACACACACACATACGCGTCCAAGAATGCCAAGTTGTCTGTTTGTTTGTTTATCTTGGAACAAACATAGAAAGCCCTCAAATTAGTAATCAATAAAGGGACTGCTGTTACAACTTTAATCATAATATCATTTTAGAAGCTGTACTAAAACATTTGCCACTTGAAATTCATGAAGAATATATATGTTGTTTACCTTCTTGGTCATCTTACTTATGAATACAGTAGTTATAAGAGATGGAGCACAAAAAAATATACATACACAGGCAGACCAAGAAGGCAATGTGTTTCAGGATGTCACTGCTAATCGGGAGCTCCTAAAAATCTTCAAATATCTCCCATTATCAAGTATTTCCTTCCTTTGACCAAGTTTGACTCAGCAGTTAACAGCACAAGCAAACACAGTGGCATATCATTTGTAGTTGCAGAGTGTAAACTCATCTGAGATCAATGAAAGCATTTTACAGTGTGGCTTTGATAGCCAAGAATACCATGATGTTTACTGTTCTATTTGATTATCTGATAGTAGTCAGAATGATGAAAGAACAGGAATACTGATGCATATGAGATATAACTATTAACCTTACTCATTACTTTTTTTAAATATTTGCCATTAAAACTATTTGAATTAAGCTCATATAATCCTGAAAAGCAAGACAACTGATGGCGAATAACAACTGCCCCAGACAAGATACTATAAAAAACTAAGGGATCTATTTTAAAATGCACAATCGGTAACAAATCTGAAGAGATAATATGCTAAATTCTCAAGAATAGCACAGAACTGTTTTTTTTAATATTTTTGTTGCTTTTTGTTTTTTTTCTTTTGTTTTTAAATTATACCTGATCACAATGTCCAGAATATTTCTGTACACATAAGCTTCAGTTTCAGTTTGGTATATTGTCTCTGTCTAAATTTATACTTATTGATAAATTCCCTGTGATCAGGAAAACAAGTCAGGCATATTAAATACATATTAAGGAGTACATGTTTTTCTATTTAGTATACAAAGTACTTCATAAATATGAATTATGTTACAAAAATAGCTTTGGGTGCGCTCACACGGTAAGCACTTTGCTTATTTTGGACAACCTTTAAGGATTGTGGGTATTTCACATAACTGAGAACAAACTCTAATGTTAGTTTAAGTTGAGCCATGTTTAATTCTGATAAACGTCACGTATTTCTTAAGATCACCACAAACGCTATGTAACTCACGTTGATTTTTTTCTCTCTTAGGTTTTATGTATAGACAGGTAATGCTTAAAGTGTTCAAATTTATTTTATACTTATGCAATGCATGGTATATTTTAAACAAATATTTGCACAATTTAACATTATAAATCCAGTGGTTTCAAGATGCAGGCCATAAAGGTTATCGATTTACAAATACTATCGAATGTTCTCTCTTTGCATGCTTTTTGTTTTACTTTTCAGATAATCTTTACAGAGAGTTGTTACAATGCCACAAATCAGAAGGAGTATTCCAGTTCCACCAACTTAATCTACGTGCAAGATGAAGGACCCAGTTGAAGTGTGAACACTGGTACCAGTTTTCTTGACTTTGCTTTACAAAGCACAGAGAGGAAGGTTTTGCATTGGGGTACAAAACAGATTTGCCTCTTGAGGTTAAATTCAGTGTATTATGTATATAAAGCATCCCTTTGGCAATAGAGTTTGCAGTATCCCCACAGGACTCCACAGTATAGGTTTGATGCAGTAAAATCTATTGGAGATTCTCTTCTACTGGACACATCTTCGCAGCTACAGTTAATGAGACACCCTTGGAAACACCTGCCTCTATGCCTATTGATAATATAGTATTTGGAAGTTAGAAATCAACAAAAGGCACTTTCATCATTAAATAAATGTCCTCTGCATGAAGTAAAATTGTGTGACCTAGATCTTGTTCAAAGCTGTCTGCTCCTCAAGGACTTGTAGGTAGTCGGGGGAACTCTGGAGTTTTGCCTTCAGTTCGAAATACTCGCTGCTCTTCCTTTGCTCCACCACAATTTTACTGTGGTTGCCGCCTATCAATGACTTCTTGTTTTTCTTGTCTTGTTTTTCTGGATAACGGATCTCAAAGCCACTGACACCTATGCTGTTGTACTCCTTTTTGCTTTCGAGAAAATTCTGAATAAACACATTGGAATCCCTGCTCGGGAATAATTCATCCAGCTCATCAATTGTGCTCAATCTCTTCCTGCTATCCACATGTAACAAATCTTTCTCCTTGTCGGCAACATTTCTCATGATGACTTTCTGTCCTGGGGGATCTGAAAACATGAAGCCAGTTTCTGACTCTTTCAAGCCACAGGTGTGGCTCTTGCTCATCTGTTCTATGGTTTGTGGAATGAAAGCTTCTGTGCTCAGTCCATCTTTTTTATTGGTTTTGTGGTCATGCTTCCTCAGCTGCAGCTGCATGGAACCACACTCTGCATTCCCCAGGCCCTCATGCTTCACCGTGGGTTTCTTGTTTCGTCGCAGCACAAAAACAAGAAGGCAAAAAGCAACGAACACAGTTAAAATGAGGACCACTAAGATACTTAAGATTAAAATCGACAGAGGCACTGGACCTCCAGGAGGACTTCGAATGGGACCCAGCGGGGTGGTGAAGGTAATGGCAGGTGCAGGGCTCGTGAATGGCGCAGATGGCTTGTTTAAGAGTTTGGGACATAAGATTTCATTTTTGAGGGATTTCAGTTCAATGTTGGCAAACTGAACAGGTGTTTCACATTTTAGTTCTTTCACAACAATCCCGTCATTCAACTTCTCCAGCCACAGCTTTAATGCCACCAAGTCACAAGTGCAGTCCCATGGGTTGCCCTCCAAGTCAATCTGTGTCAGAGACTGCAGCTGATCGAGAACCCCACTGACAGGTAGGTACATGAATTTGTTGTTCCTCAGGTTCAGTCTCGCAAGGGGTGCTCCAGAAAAAATGTAAACGGGCAAGCTCTTTAAGAGATTGTTGTTTAAGTATAGTAGCTGCAAATTTGGCAGCGAGTCAAAGGTGCCCGCTAAGATTTCTTTAATCAAATTGTATTCCAAGTACAGATACTGCAGGTTATGAAGGCCTGAAAATATTTCAGGATAGAGTCTTTCAATCTGGTTGCCATTGAGATACAGCCTGCGTAAATTAGTAAGATTATGGAATACATCTCCCTTTATCACTGTAATCTGATTACTGCCTAAATGGAGCAAATCCAGTCCTTCAAACTCAGCAAAGTCTGAGATGTCCACATCTTTAATGCTGTTGCCATTGACATGCAACTTCTTGGCATTTAAAGGTTTCGGTATCAGTTCAGACATGGACTGTATATTTTTCTCTTGGCAGTTGACACTCAGTCCAAAATCCGAAGGATGTGTTTTGCAAAAGCAAGGCGCTGGACAAGGTGTAAGAGGAGGCACCCTTGTTTGGTAAGACACAATCTGACTAAGATTGCGGTTGGAGAAGGCTTTGCCTGCCACGATTCCAGAGATCTTGGAAGGATTTGTAGTTTTCGGTGGTTTGGTCACTAATCTGTGGAAGGATGTTTGAGTAGTGTGGCCATTGGGAGTGGTATAGCCGGTTTCCAGCTGAGATGGAGGCAGGATCCGTACATCAAAATCACTGCCTGTGCCCATGGGGCATAATTCTTGTTTGTTGGTTTCTTTTAAAAGCCTTCCATACAAGTCACTGGGAGTTTCACAGATAGCTTCTCCTATGTAAATGTTATATGGCATATTCTCCAGCCAAGCTTTTAAAGGCAACAAATCACAGCTGCAGTTCCAAGGGTTATCTTCCAGTTGCAATTCGACAACTCGGCCTATGTGTTCCAGAACTCCGATATAGGGGAGCTTCTGAATTCTGTTTCCTCGTATGTCCAGATGGGTCAAAGATGCGAATCGAAAAATATTATCAGGAAGGAATGAAATCAGATTGTCATTAAGAATGAGAACTTTCAGTTTGTGGAGCTTATTGAAGGCTCCTCGTTCAATATACTTGATTAAATTGTAGTCAGCCTGGAGATACTCCAAGTTCTCTATGCCAAGGAAAGTGTCAGCTCGGAGAATCTTTAATTCATTGTTGTTCAAGTGCAACTGCTTTAATGCACTGAGCCCAAGAAAGGCTCCTCCCTCAATGTTCTGCAGTTTATTATTTCCCAGCTGCAGGGATACTGCGTGTGAAAAATTCAAGAATGTATTTGGATAGAGGATATTTAAAAAATTGTTTTGGAAATTGAGGTGATAAAAATTTGACCAAGGCGGTTTCAGCTGGTTTGGTCGGTAGACTGAAACCTTCTCACAGTTGACATAGAGCACATTCTCCACTGACACACAGGAGCACACATTGCAAATTTCCACTGATATGTCAGAATCTGCATTTGTCGAAGAAATCAGGGCTGACAAAATCAGAAAGAGCCAAAGAAACATCTTCTTGCAATCAACATGCAATTTTATGCTTCTGAATAAAGAGAGATAACCTAAAAAATAAGAAGAAAACATTTTTTCAATGATTATTACTAGAAAAATTACTTGTATTTATACAGTAACTGAAAATGTGGCATGTGATAGCAAACACGTGACTATAGTTATTAGTTTTGAATTTTTAAGGTACCAAAAGCTCTGCGTATTCTCACTTAGTCGAACACTAACCACCAAAAATGCCATACATTTTATTTCCATAGCTGTAGTAGTTTATACAAAATTTACATGTGCAGAACACATGACAAACAACAGCAAAAGACGGTTGATCATACTTAAACATTAAAAATCTGAAATATTTTCTCTACTTGGACCACCAAACTGTGCCCTTGAACAAACACAGACCTTAAGCTTTCTATTTGCAACTCTAATGACTGATCCAACCCAGTCATGTCAGCCATGTAGTTAGCATCACAAAGGCATTTCAGTTTGTAAATGTCTACTCTCTAGGCTTCAGCTGGATAAGAGGCTGAGCAGAGAAAATATTAGATCCCTGAGTTCAACAGAGGATGCCAAAGGGATAATTGGG